TACAGGTTTTACTAGCTTTTAAATAAGACACGGAAAAAGTGTGAACCATATATATATATATATATATATATATATATATAAAGTTCACTTTACCGCATCTGCATGTGGTAGGGTCCTATTAAAGAAACATTGCCATTGGACTCAACCAACGTGATACCACTGCCATTAATTAGTGCAGCTGTTTAAATCACGTTGGCCAATGAACTCCATCCATTTTTTCTTAGTAAATAAAGAAGTGAGCCATTTGTGAGCACAGATTGCCTAGAGCTCCCAAAATATACTGTCTTCTCTTTTTCATATCCCTTTAACACCCAAAGCAGTAACAGTAAGTTGTGGCCACTGGAATTAGTTTAGAATACAATTTCCTTCTTTCATTTCACTGCACTGTAAGCAAACTAAATAGAAACTAGCTATCTCTGATATTTGCTACAACAGCTTGAGAATTTTAATACTTGTTGGCTATTATCATGATTAAGAGCAAATGTTCCAAATTATGAGTCATTTCAAAAACATATTTTCATAAATTCAAGGAATATTAGCATTAGAAGAATCCTATTACCCAGTTCAATTTTCCTATTCTAGCTATAATTCTGATAATAGCTAAAATAAAAGAGCACAAATTAAAGGACTTCCTTGCTCCTACCCACAGTAATTTTTAAAAGTAATACAAATGAACCAAATATTCTTGAAATGTGTTACTTAACCATGACACAATGCATGACATTCTCCATGGCTTTGGTACTCCGTTAAAAATTTAAAAACCCAAGCAAATAAACAGCAACAACAAGAAGATATTAACACAATCTAAGAAATTTGCTGGGGAATCAGGGAGACCAAGTTCAAATCTTTGTCTTATTTTTCTATAGTTGGTAGGGAAATGACCTGTGCTATTGAGAAGATGGTGACTTGCTCTTCTGCTGTTGTTTAATATGAATTTTATATAAGTTTATGAATGGGCTTCTGGAAATAAATATTTTTCACCAAATTGAGGACCTAAGTTTGAGTATGTTGCTTTTTAATTGTATGTGGCAGTGTTCTCAAGAAAACAAATCAGAATCTACTATTTTCAGGTGCCCTTTTATAGTCTTGGTCACTTTCACTATACCGGTTATGACTAAACATAATTTAACATAAAGTTCACTTTTACAATTAAAAGCAGTTTTATTATTTTTTAAAATTTCACTTAAAAATTTTTTTTATTTTATTTATTTGAAGGAAAGAATGTATGTGAGAGAGAGAGAGAGCACAAGCAGGGGGAGCTGCAGAGGGAGAGAGAAAGTGGGGGACTCCACTCAGGGCTCCATGTAGGGCTTGATCCCAAGCCCCTGAAATCATGACCTGAGCCAAAGGCAGATGCTTAACCAACTGAGCCACCGAGGCACCCCTTAAAATTAGTTATAAAATTAATATTTAGTCTTAGAAACCACTGTTTTCTTTAATTGATACATTGTCCTTTTAAAAACTCACTCATCCATTATATTCTGCAATTGTGTTGCGAAGAACTATGGCTCATGAGGTTTATAAAATGCATCTGAACAAAAATGAGGCATGGGTTTTGCATTCAGGAAACTTCCTAGAAAGGTGATGCATACACAATAACTCGAATACAAAGCAAGACGTGACAAGTATAATGCAGAGAAATACAAATGGAAAAGTGTGACAGTATGGAGGAGACAGGGTCACACTTGTGTCAGAATCATTAGAGAGACTTCCTCAACCAGAAATCAGCTGAGCAAATATGAAAATCACAGCATTACTGCCTAGACTTGGCCAGACACAGTTACCTTGCATTTGAAATTTTTACAAAGAAGAATTCATCTGTTATTTTTTAATTTTAAATTCCCAATGTTTATTTAAATCAAAAACTTCTCTAGGACTCTCTGGGTTTACACACACCCAAGAGTTAATTAAAGGAAGGAAAAATAAGTAAGCCTAATGAAATCTGAGGGGTCAATCTAGGTCCCTTTAGTAAGTAAATTCTAAAATCCTCCTATGAAATACATAGATATCAAAGTCTGAATAAATTCTTTTAATTTTGTTCATCTATTTAAGAATTTGTTGAACATAAAATTAGAAAATTGTGGTGCCTAAAGAGTATATGCTTTGGTTTGGACAGACATGATTCCAAATATCAGAACCACCAATTAGCAGCCCAAGAGCCAGCACTTAGTGCCTGGAAAGCCTTCTAAGTTTCTGGCACATTGTAACTTCTTAGTCAATGTTGGGAGCAACTGCTGAAATTACGGGAAACATATAAAACACAGAAGATATGAAAATAACAAGACACTGTACCTGTCTTCTTCATACCCATAGTAGAGGGTATTGGTAATTTATTCTTTCTTACTTTCTCACAAACTCACTTACCATAAAAGCACTGCATAACATTATTACATTATTTGAAAGGAACTGGGGACACAGTGAAGAGTTGGGAGTCCGATCCTAAACGTTATCTGTTAAATTAGTCTGTCACATAGCTAACATTACTCCATTAGTTAATAAGTCTATAATCTTCCATTCAAAGGCAAACATTTTCTCCTTCCCTCCCAAGTCACTTCAAGCCAGTATTACTGTACATCTCTACTCCCTGGTTATCCTGGAAAGACTCCTTTCCTCCTTTAGGGGTGGCTGGTTCAAAAACACCCAGAGCCCCTTTGGAAATAGGAAATGTAGTAGGTGTCCATGCCAAGCCAGGAGTTTTTGACGATGATGAAACAATAAGTAAAACGAGGAAGTACTTTTTATTTTCCTTGTCTCATTATTTACTCATCATTGTTTCATTCGTTTTTGTAAAGTTGTTAGCACAGTGGTCGCTATATGGCAGAAACTAAATTATGCTAAGAGATGTTGCCCAACAGAGTATCCCAGTAGAGGAACCAACTTGAATTTTTAAAAATCTACAACTTCTAGGGTATAACATTCGGCACATTTCTTAATTTCCCCAAGCCCTCTCTCATCTAAAAATTGGGTAGGAGTTCCCTTCTCATATTATGATAAATAGGTGTGCTAATTTATACAAAAAGTCCAGTGCCAGACGCAGAGATCCTCAATACATATCAGCATTCTTTCTTTCCATGTCACAATACTGATTAATCAATCAGTGCTGTGTACTATCTCAAGGCCTTCACAGGTATTCTACTTTTTGTTGTGTTGCCAGCCTGTTGAGATGCTGGTTTTAACGTGAAGCAAAATATCAGGTATTGCTATTCACAGCAATGACCACCGAGGCAGACGTGTTTCGACTGTCAAAATATACCTTCATCATATTTTATATTTCTCAAGATATTTACAATCTGGTTTGCTATATGTCTTATCAAGAAATAGTCCTTTTTATTATATTTTAAACAAGTAAAAATATGATTTGATTAAAATATGATTTGATAAAATATGATTTATTTTTATTTTATTATTTTATTTATTTTACTTATATTATTTATTATTATTTTTCCAAATATTTTATTTATTTATTTGAGAGACAGAGAGAGAGAGAGAGAGAGAGGAAGAGGGCATGAATGGGGAGGAAGGGCAGAGGGAGAGGGAGAAGCAGACCCCCTGCTGAGCAGGGAGCTGGATCCAGGGCTTGATTCCAGGACCTTGAGATCAAGACCTGAGCCAAAAGCAGATGCTTAACGGAATGAGCCACCCAAGTGGCCCAGAATATGTTCTTAAATGGACATTATTCTGCCTTTCTTGACCTTTCTAAGTCTATAGGCACTATATTAGCAAAGCAATGTTGGAGAAAGTTATGGAACTGCTGATCTAATCTTTGACAGGCTCCTCTTAGTCAACTTCGACTGCAATCCGGCTATGTCTGCTACCGTGTCAGAAATGCTGTATTTCTCATTTTCTCAAGAGAATAAATGTTCCAGGAGTTGTTTTCAACTTTCTCCCATTTCCTTAATGTAATAAACACCTTTCCAGCTCTGCTACTCTGAACATTTGACTTCCAGAGGACAACGTCCACTCCTCTGCCCTGGAAAATATTGACGCCAATTAACATGGATTTCCTGATGCTCCTGCCTTTACTTCATTACTGCATTACTTCTACCTCTCAGGACTCTTAAAATCCAACCTGTTTGCCCCTCAAGTCCCTCCACTTTTCTTTTCTTTTTTTAATTAATTAATTAATTTATTTTTTAAAAAGATTTTATTTATTTATTTGATAGAGATCACAAGTAGGCAGAAAGGCAGGCAGAGAGGGAGAGAGGAGGAAGCAGGCTCCCTGCGCTATGCGGCGCTCGATCCCAGGAGCCTGAGATCATGACCTGAGCTGAAAGCAGACGCTTTAAACCACTGAACCACCCAGGTGCCCCTCTCTCCACATTTCTAATGCAAATATGAACTGTCAGGTAGCTTGTATCTTATCTCTTAACATCTGCAACCAGCTACATTATTCCAACCCTCTGCATTTTTCTCCAGAGAATAATTTTTCTTTACTTTCTTCTTCTTCTTCTTTTTTTTAATTAAGACATAATGTATTATTTGCCCCAGGGGTACAGGTCTGTGAATCACCAGGTTTACACACTTCACAGTGCTCACCATAGCACATACCCTCCCCAATGTCTATAACCCAGCCACCCTCTCCCTCCCACCACCCCCCAGAATTTTTCTTTACTTTCGAGGGGTTATTTATACCCTATGTTAAAAAGGTTTTCACTTTATTTGTTGTCTCAAGTGACCATCTTTCTGGTGGAAAAAATTTCAAATTTCTCAGCATGAATGTACTGCTACCGACTTCCTTTTTTTATTTGCTCTCCACCACCATCTTGCTTTATTTCCATCCTCAACACAAACTGCTTGCAAGAAGTTACCTGCTCCTTCTCTTTGTTCCTTCCAATAGCCCCTCCTTATTCTCACCTTCCTGAATAATTTTATGAAATACTCCCTCCCTTTCTGTTTTGAACAATGGAAAATCTTCTGATTTATGTCCTACCTCTCTGACCATCTCAGACTTCTCTTTTCAATACCCTAAATGAAGCAGACATCTAAACCCTACTACTAGTTGAATGGTCTTCTATATTCCTATGGATTCCGCTATCACCTGCATACAAACACATTCTGGACAGATACCAGGTCTTACTTTTCTAACTGACAGTAATTTCGCTCCTGCAGATATATATCCATGTCATGTCCCCAAAAGAGAGAACATTATATTGAATATTCTCAAAGATTAAGAATATCAAAATAATATGCCGAGGACAGAACCAGTTTTGATGAAAAACTAAAAGTACATGTTCTGAATGTTCTCCATACGCATTTAACGGAACATTTTTGTCATGATGTGGTTTTTCACTAACTTCCACTTAATCTCAATGTAAGATATCTCTCTGAGCAGAAGCAGCAAACAGAGCAGGCACTACTGCAGGCAAAATACACTCACTTTTTTGTCTGCATAGTAGGGGTCCAGGTCCTCCAGGGGCTCTGACACCATGCCTGGGGGGATGTCTCCATAGATGAAGGGTAGCTGTTTGCCTGCTTCCAAGTCACTGCTTGGCTTTGGGCCTTCTTCCTCATCATCCTTCTTTTCTTCTTTGGGTTCCTTTGTTTTTCCTTCAGCAATACGTTGTTCAATGAGGGCAAGGGACTGTTTTGTAAAGTAGACAAAACTCTGAGGTCCTGGGGGAGGCAACGTTGCCATCTTTTCATCCTGTATATTTTATTTCCCCGTCAGCTCCTTACATAAGAGGCCTAAGCGAGAAAAAGAAAGAAAGAAAGAAAGAAAGAAAGAAAGAAAGAGTGTTAAATGTTTGCCAGCCAGAAATGGCACATTAAAAATAATAATAAACAGATTTTGGGGTGCCTGGGTGGTGGGACTCTTGATTTCAGCCTGGGACTGAAGCATGGGACTCTTGATTTCAGCTCAGGTCATGATCTCAGGGTCACGAGATGCATTTGTCTCTGGCTCCTTGGTCGGCAGGAGAGTCTGTTTGAGATTGTCTCTCTCTTCCTCTCTTTTTCCTCTCCGCCCCCACCCCCGACACCAGTCCTGTGGTCTTGTGCATGGGTGCTCTCTCTCTCAAATAAATAAATAAATCTTAAAACATATTTTGGTTTCAACTACAAGAAGTAATGTGTTCACAAAATTATTACGCTGAATTAGCATTTATTGACTACAACACATAAGATTTATTTCCCACACTCTCTACCATCTTTATTTAAAAATCTGAACTTAACACTTCCCAGCTTCTAAAGTGAAAACTTAATGAAAAAAAAATTGATTCCTTTTACTTTTCATCAGCACTCGCTTTTATTGCAATTCAATGAACCTTTCTCATTTAAAATTCTTTGTGACAGTGCTTCTAATAGTTCCACTCTCCAGGTTCTGTTGCCTCTCTGATCACCTAATCCTCTTCTGTCTTAATCTCAAAACATGCTCACAAACCTCTGCTTCTCTCTCTTGGGGAAACTCATTTCTGTCAAATGAGGTGATGGAAAGACTGGTTTATTCTATTTTGCATATTTACATTTTCTTACAATTACATATCCCTTTAGAAATCAGAAAAAATATATTCTCATTTTGAATTTAAAACAATTTGACAAAATATTTAGGAAGAACAAAGAAAAGAAATTTGGAACATATATGTGATAGATTCAATTTTAAAATTTAAAAAAAAAATCAGTAAGATATGTTTTCAAACTATGAGTTCCCTAAATAACTTCTATGTGTATCCAAAACCTATAGAAAAAAAAAAATACAAAATAAAAAAGTCAAGTTCCATATATTATTATTTTGGAATGTTGTAAATAAAAAAGTATAAAAATAATAGTTCTCGTTTTAAAAATAAACTCAATTTCAATGAGTCAGGGAGTCAGGGTAACTTCGCAACTTCTCCATTAAAAAATAAAAATGAGTCTTTTTTTTTTCTTTTTACATTAAAATTGGTTCAGAGTCAGGACACACCAACATCTAATACGTCAACCCACTGTGAATGGCTTGAAAAGCTGTATAGTATTATCCCCAAACACAGCGGGAGAGTGAACTAAGAGAAGCCATGGTCTGCCCTTTTATTTTCCAATGCTGAACATAAAAATTAAGCAAATCACAGTAGTGACAACACAGACTACATAGATTCAGAAAAAGAGGTAGGAGAAGCTAAAACTATTCTTTTCCAGGTTTCCCCTGTTTCCATATCAAACAAAATAAACTTCAATTATGTCTAGAACAAAGGGGATGCCTTTTACCCTTAGTTATTCGGCCACAGTATAAAAACATTCCTTACCAGAAATCTATGTATTTTAAAAAGAGATTAGTGGCCTTCTAGAAACTATCACCTCCATCTGAGAAATAAGGCAGTGAGTGCAGTTTCCCCCTGGGTTTAGGAAACTGCTCAACACTTCTGGAAACCATACAGGGGAGCAGAAGATGACTTCCCTCAAAGATTTTCAGTATACACACACCTGGTCTTTTGGAGAAAAGATGGCAAAAGAAATGGTGTTTTTGTACACCCTACATTTCCACTGGAGGTGTCACGTCTTTCAGGAATTATATGACAAATTCGGGTAAGCAGATGTCATGAACTCTGACGTCCAACCCCCAATTCCACTATCTCTATATCCCCTTTTCCTTCTTTGTTTTTCCCTCACTCTCTATTCATGCACACCCTCAAACCCGCATTCTGATTCACTGAAGTATATACAAACAGCAGGCCTGGTGGGTAATTCGAGTCACTGGTACGATGGTGGGGAGGTACTTCCCAAGTTGGGCTAAAGTGAAAGAAGACACTAAGCATCTGCTCACAATCCCGGTCTTGGAAAGTAAGCCAGAGACTCAGATCAGATTCCATCATCATCCTCTAGGTTGGAGGGTATAGGGGAAGTCACTCCCTCCTATCTGGATGATGGGAATAAATAATGTGTACAAACTGTTCGAGGAGAATTCTACAATATCTACCAAAACCCTTAAGTATGTTAATTAATTTTTAATGCCAAATAACCTCCCTTCTAGGATTTATCCAAAAGCAATAATCTCAGATGTCTTCAAACATTTATGAAGTATTCACTGCAATGTTTTCATAATATTGAAAAACTATAATTTAACCTAAAAGCCTAATCGGGTTTCATTAAATAAAAAATGAACATATAATGAAAAACTGAGTGGCATTTAAAGAATGCTTTTAAAGACTACGTAATGAATTATAAAAACCTTATAATGGATATCTAATGTGTGTGTCACACACACACATTCCTGTATATTCATCTCAATTTGTTAAATGTACAGAAAATCCGAAATTAAATGTACAGTATCTTTAATGAAGGTTATTCACAGCTGAGGGATCAGGGGTTATTTTTATTACTTTCTTTGTACTTTTCTTTATTTTTCAAATTTTTATAATGAAGATGTCATGCACTTTTGTCCAAAAAAGTACCTTGAAAAGTACATTTAAGTTTATTTGACTTGAATCTAATAAATGTAATAAAATCAATCGATATTTATTCTTTTATGTTTAATTTAAAATTTTGAAAAATATTGTCATATTTCCACTTGTTAATATTACTATGACTGCACTTTCTTTTGAGTATTGTACATAAATATATTTTAGTGTTCTCATGACTATTTTGCCCAGCTATCATTAACCTCAATATTAGATGATACTGACACAACTACTGAAAACAAAAAGTGAAGGCAATATCCTTGTATCTAGGATTTCTCAGTTAAAATAGGTATAAAGATATTTATTATGAATTCCCTTCTCATCTGTTCTCCATGCATGTATGCATGTACTATCTATTTACCTATCTACCTATCATCTCTTTTTCCTCATACATTCTTCCAGTCAAGGCACTTTCAACTTCTAATTTATGACTTCTAATTGTCTTATCCCATGTGTTTATCATCCCCTGTTTCCCAAATTCCCATTGCAATGAAAATAATGATGGAGAGTAAAGTTTCACAATGTCACTGAAAACCAGAGAAGACACTAAAGAGTTTTCATAAATCTGAGCAAGAAAGAGCAGATAGGATTATCCTAGTAAGGAGATTAGCAGGTGCCACAGCCTACACACTCATCTGAGAAAGTTAGAACACAGGAAAAAATATTTCTGTCCAGCAGAGAAGTAAGCGAGTTGGCCCATGGATGAAGATCAGAAAACAAGTTGACTAAGGATTATCTACCCAACAATGTTGCAGGTCACATTTCCACACTTCCTCCCCTATATCCAAGTGTGAAGCAGTGGGATTTATCCCCAGTCTAAACCAAAACATTAATCTCTGAATTAATCGACATAAGACCCCTAGGGTGTTTATTTTCATTTATACAAGAAGCAGGGAAGATCAAGGGAAAGAAGGCCTTTTTTTTTTTTTTTTTAAATATACTACCTTTTTCTCAGGTGTTTTTGATTTTTTTTCTATTTCCATTTTAATCACACTAGTTTTTCACTGAAGAATTCCTCAAATTATTTTGGAAAGTTAAGTGGGTATAAATTTTAAAGCAGCGTATCAAAACCTGCTATCTGTGAATGCTGGCCCATGCGATATGAAATAATATGCCACCAAGGAGTTCTGTGGCTAAATTTCAAAAATACTAGAGTAGAAAACAAACTTAGACAAATTTCTTTGCCACTAGACTACTAGAGACTATACATTTAAGAGTCTGACAGAGTTGATATATGGCAGACCCTGAATCCGAGAGATCACAGAACTCATGCTGTTGTTGTTTTATTCTGACAAAGTTAGAAATGATAAATTATGAAATTATTTCAAACACACAGAAAAGTATAGAAGATAATAGATTTAACAAACTTTCTCAGTTTCCCGTATTTGCTTTGGACCTTTAACTTTTTGTTTTTTGAGGAAATAAAAATATTCAGTTACAGTTGAACCCCCATCTCCATCTCAGGTCAATTATCTCACTTCCTCACTCATTTCCTAAGGATAACCTCAAACTGGTACAGAACCCTTTGTATTTCACATGCTAATTTCTCCTCCATTCTTCAGAAGACGGTTTGGAAACACTGTTTAAATGACAAAATGGAACAACTGTTTGATGCTAAAATGGTAACACTGAATCTATTTAATTTTACTAATTACCCTCATACCAGTGGTTTTGCTAGATTCTCTTACTACCCCTGGTATTTTGGTAGATTATTTAGGATTTTCTTTCCAATTTTAATACTAAAATTATATAATTTCATGTATATATGTGTATTTATGTATGCATGTGCTGCCGAAGCGAGCACATTATTTAGGATTTTCTATGATGGCAGACTTGCCTTGCATTTTCCTTACCCATATCCTAAAATAGACAACCAGACACATACACATCACCCACACACAAAAACTTGCAGGCCTTCCCCTCCCTCTGGGGAGGATTTGTTTGGGAAACAGACATACATACAGGCAGATGCAATAAACAACAGCAACATGGTCTTTAATTCATAAATATTGATAGATAATTAAAGATGAATTAGTAATCAAGGACTACCAAACATAAAACTGAAGGACTGAGATGACCAGAGCAAACTACTAACTCTAGAAGAAAGAAAAGATTTAGCAAACATAGGGGAATATTAAGAAGTTAAGGGGCGCCTGGGTGGCTCAGTGGGTTAAAGCCTCTGCCTTCAGCTCAGGTCATGATCTCAGGGTCCTGGGATGGAGCCCCGCATCCTTCTCTCTGCTCAGCGGGGAGTCTGCACTTCTTCCTCTCTCTCTGTCAGCCTCTCTGCCTACTTGTGATCTCTGTCAATAAATA